AGCACGCACATCGTTTTATCATTTGTTATCGACTTCACAGTTAATATTAGTTTTTACTACACAGCTGATTCCTGAAAACAATAATTATTATTGTTACTATTATAATTATTAAATTTAATAGTTTTACACTTAAAACAAGGATTTTTATGTTTTTGACATGAAAAGTAATCGTGGAAAATAATTTATTATTATTTTTATATTTGTCACGTTTTATGAGGAGTGAAATCGTATAAATCGTGTTTTCTATGATTACTTTTCATGTAAAAAACGCATAAAATCTTTGTTTCTCAAATGTGAAACTATTAAATTTAATAATTCTAGCAATAATAATTATTAATGTTTTTAGGAATCAGCTGTGTAGTAAAAATCAGTATTAACTGTGAAGTCGATAACAAATAATAAAATGATGTGCGTGCTATATAACTACGGTGCCTGAGTGCGTGAATTCTACGCGATATTATTGGTAATCTTTAATCGGTTATAATTTAAAAACTATTGTAGCCTCGACATTTTTGTATCAGGATTTTCGACTCTACTTTATCTTCAGAATACGCTATTAAAATATCTTACGATGGGACGGGTAAGACAGCCTGTATATAAAAACTCTAATTAACACAGCTGAATTCGACGCTAAATGTAACGGTAGGCAACTGCGCAAAGATAAGTCTATTCTGCATACACGTGGCGCTATCGAGTATACAATAACGGACGTACCAAACCTTGAACAGGTACTGACAGCTGGTAACGTAGATCACGTTCTGGCTGTCGAAAGATATAGAGAAAATGCTGTTAAACGTGCTCTTTGTATGTCCGTGTGCTTCTCTGTCGTGACAAGTGGTCGTACTTTGGAACAACTTTTATGATGAAAATTAATTTTACGCAGGCAGGTCGATGAGATTCATCGAAAGTTGGAAAAAATGCCTCTTTATCGACGCTCGACAGCTTGCAGGAAATATCGTGCAGTCCTGAAACGCATCACGGCAATTCAAAGGCGGCTTTCATCCGGCAATCCATTAAAACGCCGCATCAAATTGCAACGTGTTAAATGTATATCTTGTTTGTTTTATTCAGCATTAAGCGATTACTGAATCGAACGAGCATCCGCGAAATGAATAATTGAATGAGCAGAGTGGACGAGCTTTATGGTCGCTGATAATCGGTAAATTGGTGGCTATTAACGGCACTTTGTGACGTTAGTGATTTTCGTGCGACGTCATAAAAATTATATAAATTATATAAAGTGATTACGCGCGCGCGCGCGCGCGACGGCAGAGAGTTAATTCTTTTATATATGACCGACTTTTGTAAATTTCGCTCGGAGTAAACGCGAAACGGACATTAATTTCTGTAATATTCCCAACGCAAGGGCCGCGCGTGAAAAAGAATATTAGAATGTAATAATGTGAAGCAAATGGGTGCGTAAAGAGCGATTCTATGCGAGAGATAATCCTTTTAATTTTTACTGAATATTAATCACTAATAATACAACTTGGTGGTTTACTCTCCTTAAAGTACTCTATGCCGATCGGTACACGTGAGTGCAGTATTTACACGATCGTATGGAATAATATGATCCACGCACTGATCAACGATTATACAAATAATTTACGAACTAGAACTGCTTCAAAAAAAAGTTAAGTAAAAATGAAACGGTAGATATGCTCGAAATTTAAATCATTCGAAATGTCATAAGAAATGTCTCGATATTCATGACACGTACAATCAAATGTACAAAATTAAATAAATGTACGAAATTATTAAGGTTCATATTAATGTTACTTGAAACTTGTTCCACGTGAGATATTTAGACATGAATTTAGAGTTAGATTTTTTTCTTGAATCGCCCAATACATGTGACATTATATTTGCAATCGTGATTCAGCTGAAAGATTCACATCTAACTCTAAATTTAAATCTGAGTATCTCACCCAAGGCAAGTTTCAAGTAACAACTATTAATACAGCTCTCAGACTTGAATTTAGAGTTAAATCTGAATTTTTCAGTTTAGGTCACATAACATAAATGACATTAGATTTGCAGTCGCAATCCACTCAAGAAATCCATATCTAACTCTAAGCTCTGTAAGTGTCTCACTTCAGGCAACTTTCATGTAACCATTATTAATACGGGTGTAAATTCGAATCTATTTCACTTGAGGCAGGTTTGGAACAACGACTATTGATATGAGCTTAAAAGAAGTATAAGGCCAACACGAACCGTGCGCTGGATAATGACTGAATGATTAAATTACGAAAAGGTAATATTGTTTTTCGACAGTGTCAAAGAACACACGCGCCAAATATTTTTCCAGTCTTGCACTACGCGTGAATTTGACGCGTTTACACTGTCAAACAATATTATTCAAACAATATTATCTCTATTTCATCATTCACACTAACATCCAACACTGTTATTAGCTTTGTATTTCTCTTGATATGGTTGTATCTTATGTAGTCTTTCGCACATAGTTTAGTTGTTACAAAGATTTCAAGAAAAATTAGCTTTAAGATTAGCGTTTGCTTTTTTTTTGAAGCAGACTCTATTACACAACAAAGGTACACAAGATCACGGTTTTTTATCCTTTCTTCCTTTCACGTCGACGTATTTAATATGCTAATACTTGGAAGTATACAAGAGATCCTTAGCTTAGCTCTCTACATTGTAAAAAATAACTGTACACTTTGTATATAACAACATCGGTTAACTCTAGACTCTATACAAACTAAAAGTACAAATTTTCGCGGCGTGGTCAAGCGTTTATTGTATGAAGCGAATATATATATAGCTAATAGAATGTTTCATGACGCCTCGACTCGCACGAAAGCCTCGGTGCGGACTCTTAGACTCCGTCGTAGATCGCTTTCATTTTTTTTTCTTACAACACGATATGCTGACCTCTAGACGGAACGCACCGATTTATGCGAATATCGCGGCGGCGGCTGAGTTATCTTTGCGTGTGGAATTCTACGTTATATTGCACCACGTGTTTCGATTATATCCCTAGCGTTCTCTGTACAACATCGTAATTGAGTTAGTCTTGCGAGTCGAGCTCCACTCGATGAAGTAGATCCGGTTCTGAAAGAAGATTCGAGCGCATAAATACAAAGGCGCGCCCAATCGATGGCTCGCGAATAAGAACGTTATTCCGTGTGGCTTACTACCGTTCCGGTTCTCCTCCACGTAGAGACTCGCCCTTTGCTGCGAACGTCTGTTCTCGTTGGAATATCGAATTCTCGGCTCGATTCTATGACCCGGTACGTAGGTCGGCGTGGTAAAGTCGTCCGGGCCGTCCAAAGCGGGCACGTCCGATCGTTTCCTACAGATCGCCAGGCCGATGACCACTCCGATGCCGATGAGAATCAACGCAGCCACGCCTTGAAAACATTCAGGGTTGGAATTGCGCGCCCTCGATCCATATAAATGCATTATAATTTCATACTTCAAATTCAGACCCTCCGCGTCAAGCCAGCGCGCAATGCAAAGTGCAAAGTTCACTTGGGTAAAATTGATCTTACACAATAGGATTTACGTTTAGAGTAGCGTGGGGATCGTAACAACTAGATTTATACTGAAGGTGTGAGCGAAGCATAAAGTAAAACATCCAATTGTTGGCATCAGGCAATGACCAAAACCCGTTTTATATAATAGTCGTTACTTAAAACTTCTTTCAGATATTTAGATCTGAGTTTAAAGTTAAATAAAAGTTTTACAGTTGAATCGCTATTGCAGATATAATGTCATATCTCATGTCATATCTATGTAAGTATCTCACTTGAGAGGAGTTTCAGGTAACGACTATTAATATGAACCTAAAACTGTGAACAAGTGCCACGAGGAAAACCAGGCTGTTCTAGAGTGTCAATGACTCAGGAGGTATCAACAATTGGGTGTTTTATCCTAGGCGTTTTTGAAAAAGCTAACGACGCCGCGGACTTTATCTATACCTGTCAGTGCAATTGCGATGATCATATTCTCAGAGCTGGCTCGCGGCAGCGCCTTTTTCAGATCCTCTAGGAATATCCCGCTTCTTTCTACCTTGCCTCCTATAGACTCCACGACCCTGATGTGCTCTAGGAGGGCGGGTTCGCTCCTGCCACGTCCGTTTACCGCGTAAATATACACTGTATAATCGTATCCCGGCTCGAGGTCGTGCAGCTGGAAGTTCGGGCTTCTCGGATTCATGTCCTGATAGATAGGTGGCGAGTCTCCCACCAAGCCTTGATCGCTCTGAGGCGTTTGAAGGGTGTGGAGGCCAATTTGGCCGATGCCGGCATTCCTCGGGGATCCTCGAACTTCCAATAAAAAGTGTTGCGGCGATCCGCCGTCCGATCCTGGGACGCAATTAACCTCCAGCGAGTTACTCTCGTTGCGCAACGAACAGTCCACCGGCGGTTGCGGCGGTTCTGTGCAATAAAAAAGAATTCGGCTTTGACTCTTTCTCTCGCGCGTGCGAGATAAAAAATCACACGTTTTAGACGATCGCCCGGCATGTAAAATTTAACGAACCAATCAATTCCAGCTCTTACGAAATGAGGAAAGAAGAATTGTCATTATCAGCGAACTACATAAATATCGTAGTTTTTTCACGTAAATTCATTTCGATTTTATTAATAGTGTACGGATAGACTTTCGATAAGGTCTTGCCGAGGATAATACTAATTTTACTATGTTTAGCTAGAAACATAGCAAATTTATTAATAGAACATTTTAGTTCCTAAAAATATAAGTATTATATATGAAAGTATAAGTACTATACATGGAAGTACTATAAATGAAAGGATATATTTCTCTAGAAAATTCTATAGTAATTTTTTCTATAAAATTATCTCCGCGAATAATTGTCAGTATTTAGGCTATTGGCTGCACACACAGACTGCAATTATCTCGCGTTTATTTCAACCAGAAATGCTCTTTACTGTAAAATAAATCCACGGAGAAACCGCGATAACACCCGATTAACAGACGATTAACACCCACTAGCTGGTACTATGTTGAATATACATGGTGTCCTTTGTCGTCCGATACTGTTGCTCGCCCAACAGGCCAACGTGCCGTAATCGGTGTCGACGCCGGGTGTGTACTCCAGCACGCTCACGAGCCCTTTATTCTCGGCCCTCGAATTTGGCATGGGCAAAACATCGCCGCGGGTGCCGTTGTACGTCCACGAGAACTTCACGTCGTCGTCCGGCGCCGCTTCCACTTCGCACCTCAGCGACACGGTCTCGTGGCGAGCCGCGGTGATCTCTAGCCACTCGTTACCCTCTCTGCATCGCGGCGCGTCTATCGGACATTTTGGACGTCGTTGTGAGAAACAGAGGAAATACGAACGAAAAACGACTCGAACATTCACCCGCGATTTCGGTGGAATTTGTTTAACAGGCAAAATTAAGAGACACATGTTACTTTCTTATCGGTTGATATTCAAGGAAACTACCTCTTCCCGAAATTTCATCTCTTTCTCGCTATCTCGGTAATTATTGGAGATACAATCTTCTCAGACGAATATTTTATAATTTTCTGTAAAAAATTCAATGACAGAAGCTACTGCACCGACTGTTTGAAGCATTTTTTTATAATAGACCATTATATTTTACATTTCCCCGTTGTCAATGTGTACACAGGGAAAACGTTGTAGTGAAAGTGACGTTAAAATTATATTTCTTTTTGCAATATTTTTTATAAAACTATATACTAAAATTGCAGCATAAATCGCCATAGCAAATTTGACGATCCACCCTAATATATGATATAAAAAAACATTAAAATAATAAAACTGCAGTAATTTTGAAATAAAACGTGGTTAAAATATTTTTAAGCAAATATAGTAACTTCGGTGACAGTTCTGTACGAGATAACGAAAATTTTGTCGCAATTTTTGCTACAACATTCTCTCCGTGTACGAATCGCGTGCTCACATTTTATTTGGATAAGAAGCGGCGGACTGTCGCTTTCCCCCACGATGTTCACAGCCGAGCAAGAGTACTCGCCGGTGTGCGCGAGCGTGAGCTCCCGGATGGTCAACGATTTGGAGGCCAGCAGAATCCCGGCGCTTACGTCGTGCTGTAGTTGCTCGTCCTGCGAGGACACAAGACACCCGTGGCAATAAATTATCTCGAGGCTCATAACGAGGCTCTTTTTTTCTGACCGACCGTTTTCTACTTACGTCGCGGTACCAGATCACTCGCGTCGGTGGCGGGTTGCTTTGAACGTTGCAGACTAACATGAGATCGTCGCCCTCTCTCAATGTGTCCAAGACGTAGCCAGTGGCCAAATGGGCGAGGACCACGGGAGCATCTGTTCGTAGTTCGATGGAAGGATTGCGTCATTATTTAATATAGCGTTCGCTCGCAGATGATCTCGGGTGACCAAGTGTCGCAAATGACAGGGAGAATGGTAACTAGGATTTCTATTCTATTAGAAAGAAAGAGAGAGAGAGAGAGAGACAGAAATAAAAGAAAAAGAAAGATGACATTTGAAAGAGCTGAAGAAACTCACAAAGGACGCGAAGCATTTTGACCTCTTCGAGCGACCCTCCGGGAAATCTTGGATTCTCGGCTCGACAGATCAATTCCTTCTCGTCGTCTTCCTTGCTGAGGACCAATGCCAACTTGCTCATCGTCGTGTTGCTCCTCTGCGTGGTGGACACGTTGGGATCGCCGATCACTTGTTCACCCAACCTCCAGACAATCCTGGCCGCCGGGGAGCTGCCCCAGGTTTCACATCTGGCGATGATCGGACGACCGGCGAAGATTTGACTCTCGCTCAGAACTATCTTCACGGTCGCCGGTTTAACTAAGATACAAGAAACACCACGAATTGAGGCCATGTGTCAAGGATCATCGAGAGGAGCGAGTCAGACAAAGGCATCAAAAATAGTGACAGCGATCTCTGTTCTCCGCGACAACTACCTCCGCGCTGTGCCTTCTCGGTTGCCTTCAGCGCGAAAAGAGACAGACAAGGAACACGTGGTAGCTTAAGGGGTTGGCCGATAGAAATCCGTATCCGCGCGTAGGCGCGCGAAATATGAGTCCCGCGGATGGAAAAAACTACGAACAGGCCGCGCTCCGATGTCGACGTTGCGCCACGAGAATAACGATTCGGGAGGGTGCCAGATGCCCGCGTATTTTTAATTTTGGATGACAATTCTGCGAAACGCGACCGTCAAAGGATGCTAAGGAGGTCCGCGCGAAATCGTTGGAATTCATTTCGCTTCCGCTGCGGGTCAATTGCTCGCGGCTATATTTAAATTTCTTTCTTCGCCGCGCTAGGAATACGCGCTAGGATGCGGCCGGGGTGACTCGGAGCAAACGGGGTGAATTAAACGCGTGCACGCAGGGACGATATTTTGGGGTGTAATCTGCAGCTCGCATATCCGATCGTGACTCCGTCGAGGATCGCTCTCAAATCTTCTTTCGTGCGTAAATACGACGGTGCTTCGCTTGTTTTTCGGCTCAACCCGAAAATAAATAAATACGAGAGCCAGGCGAGAGAGAGGAACGGAAGTGTCGATCGGACAAAACGTGCCAAGAGAGCCCTTTAACACGCACCGCTTGAGATCGCTTTTTAGCACGTGCTTGAGACCCGGAGAACGTCCTTGAGGAGAGTGCGAGCGGTTTCTACGATTTTATTTTAAGCAGATGTCACGTTAGCGCGGCATTTATGGTCTGCTTCCTCGAAACGCCCTTTGCATTTCGTCGCCGCCCGAACGCGCCCGCGGATGTTGGGGAAAGTTGAGAAAACGTGTCGGAAGGAAGAACGGTACCCAATGATAAGATGATCGCGAAGAGAGATTTACAAGCTCGTTAGCGCGCAATCGTAGCCTATCCCGACTAGAAATTTATCCCATGGTTCTCGTCAGGTCTAACCCGATCAGTCATCTGACTTGTGCGACGTTATCGCGGGTCCTAAAAAGCATTCAAAGAAGTAGAATCTAATTCTTAGAAGAATCCTCTGAATTTTAGAAGATTTTATTCTTAAATAAGACCTCAACAGAAGTCAAGAGGATTCTTATAAAACTAATAAGAAAATATTCTAAGCGCGATATTCTTAGGGTCGACTTTTCAAATAACAGTTCATATGTAAACGTAAGCTTAAATTTAAACCTTTTCCTGATAATATATTTGACGTACTTAGTATCTAAGTATACGATCGTGCGGTGCAATCAGTAAAAAATGCGACACTTACGATATATGTCGAGAGGCACTTCGCGAACGATAGTTTTCCCTATCGGTCCAGACTGTGCCCGACACTCGAGTTTCGCTCCCCACAGTGACCTGGTGACCCGGTCGATTAACAGGTGGTTCACTGTAAATCTACTCGGCGAGCCGATAGATGCGGTATCGACCACGCCGTCCAACAACTGGCCGTCCTTCCACCACGTTACCGAGGGCTTAGGTCTACCTGTATGCGTATGTGCATGTCGATTTCAAAGAACGTCGATACGAATAGGCGCGATTGATAGACTCGGCGCAAAATACAAAGGTGGCTTACCTCCGGACACCTGACAGGTCAGAGTGAGGTCATAACCCTCCAGGAAAGGCCCGGCTACTCCCGTCACCTCCCGTCCTCGCGCGTCGTATATCACAGGCCTAGTTGGCTCCTCTGGAAGAAGCAAAATGTAAAGTGAAGGTGTTGTAATAACGACGCCGGTATATATTCTTTCTCATCGCGCGCTCTTTGAAACACGATAGTTACCAATTAGAGTCAAGTTCACGCGAAAGTTCCGCGTCGGTGAGTTTATAAAGTCCACCCTGCACCTGAACATCCCCTGATCCTTGAACGTCACTTTGGTGACTTTCAACTTTGCGCGGTGGCCGTCGCCGATTTGAAAGTATGTTCGTTTTCCAAGATCATCGCTGACCGCCCAATGAACGGCGCCGGTCAAGTTGCCGTTTCTTGCGTCCAAGCTATGGAAAAGAGGGACATTGATCATCGGCTCTGATCATCGGCTCTAATTATTGAATCATCAATTGTTAAGATATTTAAACACTGAATAACTAAAAATAAAACAGCTTACACACTAATTTTATTTATCTAATAAAATTTCTAAAGCACTTGCAAATACCCTACTATTTTTTATTATCTTATTCTCTTTCTTCTCCGGATTACTAATTATGTAAAAGTAATCTAAAAATACTAATAATAATAATAATAGTAATAGTAATAATAATAGTAAATAATAGTAATATCTAATAATAATAGTAATCAAAACACATATACAAAATATGTTACAAATATTTTCTCCAATGTATCTATAAATCTTTAAGTGCAAATAATCAGGCAACGTTATGTAATATTATGAGCTAAAATTAACGATTGCTAGAATTCTTATATTTTGACAACTAAAATGTACTGCAAAAATTTGTCGTGTTTCTAGCAAAATTCGTTATATTTCTAGCAAAACTTGCTACTTTTCTTAGCGAGATAAACCTTAGCAATCTCTTCCTGTAAACATAATAAGATCGAAAAAAATGTATACCAAAAATCTGTAATATATTATCTTCGTGTATAATCCCGTGTTATTGCAATCTGAGAACTGTCAGATTTGACAGTCATTCAAGTGAGAGTTGCGTGAAAAATCATAGCTGAAATTTCTTTTTCGGAGGATCCTTAGCGAGAGAACCACCTTGTCGGTCGCCCCTCATCAGGTGTTTCGTCGCACGGTGCGTGACATTTCCGTCCGTTAACGTGTACCCGGTAAACATCGCGCGCTTTCGCCGCCAATTGGCGACTCACGATGACTAATCTCGCGTGCGCGCTTAACATCTATTCGCGGCTGGGAAAAAAGAGCATTTGGCAGAGCGGTCGCCTGCGAATTTAGATTCCCTTAGCCTTAGAGTGCTGACCGTTACGCAACGGCGAGAGCAGGAAATCATCTCGGCAACGGGGAAACCGGCCGCGGGAAAAAGATGGGACCATCAAAGCGCTGTTTATCCGCGACTCGTCACCCGCGCCTCACCGTTGCTGATACTTACGTGGGGTTGTGACGGTCGTTGCCAACTACGCCGTCAAAGTCGATTTGGAAGTGACGGAGGGTGGAAGGTTCTAATTTGCGCGACTCGGGTTACGTGCCGTGAAATTGAACGGAGGCGTCTTCCGCGCGGCCAAACGAAAATATGGCGCTTCTTCGAACGCGCGAGATGCGCGCCGCTACGAGGAATTCGCAAACATAAAGCACGGAAAACGCAACAGGCGTCGCTCGAACAAATTTAACGGGCGATGACGATTTCTTATTTGATCATAAAAAGTGCAACGAGCGACTTCTCCCGCGGTGGCTTTCGCAATAATCGAACTTCTCGACTTCGTCGAGATCGAACATCGCGAGATTTTACGAGAGAGAACATTCTACCTATTCAGAGTTGTGTGTGCCGTAAATTTTGAAGTTACATGTGAATTGTTTACGCGAAAGAGTAATTAAATTATAAGGCAATAAGGTATATGTTTCGGATATTAATTATAAATGTAAAAACGGATAACAAATTGCGTGGAATTTTTCATTTCACTACGTAACAGACTGGTATATTTATCTCTCTGTAGATATGAATGTAATCGTGCAATTCTGTAGACTTCAACTTGTTTGGGGAACAATATTCAAAAATTCAAATTAGATTTTTAAAGGTTAAATGAAAGTTTAAATTATTATTTATACGTATAAAAGTCTACAAACCTGGTTCTATAAAAAATATGAAGCAAAATTTCACTTTAAAAGAAGCGAAAATATACTCTAGCGAGCGATAGTGCAAATACTGCCAGTTGAAATCGCAAGAGCGAAAGTTTCAATCATTTTAAGTGAATCAGATTCGCTCTTCAAGTTCGAGTGAAAATAATCACTCGACGTTTCGGACGTGAGAGTTCACTCTACACGAGCGAGAAGTCTCGAATTCGAGTGACTTGTCACTCCGCTTCCCGCGTGAAATTTCTGTGGAAGAAGTTTAGAGAACGCGCGGGGAAGAGAACGCTCATGAGAAAGCGAGTCTTCATAATAAAAATTCCTCAGGACGTGTGATCTTCGCGCGACGCTATTTATTTTTCATAGAAACATACGGACGATAGCGGGACGAGGGGAACATCTTGTTTTACGCAGAGTTCGTAAATAAACGATGCCGCACACGCACGCTCTGTTTAATGCGCGTGTCAGCCGGAAAGAATTCTCGATCGACTGCTATTCCTGAAGCACGGACGGTGTTATGAAATTCCATCACCTACGCTTCCGATGGTGGAAATTCGGTCGAATTATTTATACAATCCTGATCTAGCCTAACTTGAATTTCCTACGCGTATACGAGCCGATGCGCAGTGCATATATCATCTCAATGATCGTCTGTGCGATCAGTTTACTCGAGTACATTTGGAATAACAGCATACACAAAAAAATATACTACATTCAAGTAAGTAAAAGAAATTATTCGATAAAAAATTAACAAACGGATATTTCCAATCAAAATACTTTTTATACCGATCCGATTAAATTTAATCGAATATTTCCGAATTATAATAGCATTTCATCAGATGAACCGATCAAAAAATTATAAACCGATATTTCTCATTGAATATTTCCTGATACAAAAATTCATTGTTATTTTGATAGGAAGTATTCGTTTGTTAATTTTTTATCGAATAATTTCTCTTGATATAGATATGTCAGATTTAATACAATTCGTATCCGAAAGTAATTGAAACCGATATTATATCTCCTTTTTCGTAAATAAAAAAGACATCTGATTATCAAAAGACCGTTTATTAACGAGATATTAATTAACGAGATGTAAACCGCGTCGGTCGTTAATAAGCTCGCGGTATTTATACATCAGGGCGCGACGAAGGTGTCCATAACGAGAGTTCACGCGTGCGAGCTCGGCTCCTGGCCGGGGTATTTCGAGATGCGACTTCAGAACAATGGCATCCCATCCTCCGATAAACGCATGGCCCGGCCAACATCCGGCAAGCCTGACTTTCGACCAGAAAGTCCGCCGTGTGAATCAGTTTCCACCCGCGAGGGAATTCCTAGAAAGCAGGAAGTCGTCGGCGAAGTAGGACTTTTTTCAGGCTTAAAGATCGTTCCGATGAGAAACAAAGTTCACCCCCACGACCTTCCTTCTTACTTCCTCAAGAAAACAGTCAGATCTAATTCCTGACTAATGATGTTTCTGTGTGACTCCTCGCGAATTTACTTACGACACCTTTCACAGAATTGAGTTCGGATATCGTTCGCCATTTTCCGCTGATGATATTTCCCGCGTGTTATTTCTCGAGAATTTATCTGCGACATCTTCCACAAAGTTGTGCTCGGAAATAGCTCGATGACGTTCGCAATTTCGCGGCACGTAGCGCTCTAAAATAGTAAAAATCGTCCAGGTCGCCGAGATCATTTTGAAGCGCAAGAAGACTCACCTGTAGAGCGGTATACCGACTTCGTCCTTGAACCAGAGCACCATGTTGATCGAATCCGAGGGTGTCGGCGGAGTGATGTCACACGGCAGCTCCACGTTCTCACCCTCAACCGCCCAGACCAATCTTACGGGCACTGAGAAAAGAGAAATTGGCTCGGTCAATGAAATCGTCCATGATTCGCGTGTCCAAGCGCGCGCCCGCGCGACTCAAACTCGCCACGTCGTACTTATGAGAAGTACCGGTACAGAAAATAGAAACGATATATCGCAGGCCGGCCAGCCGACACGCACGCAAGCAAGCGACGTCGTCGTCCTCCTCCTCGTTGTCGCACGTGCGTGCGACGCGCTGTTAATGCACATCGCGGTATGCCATTGATAACTCGCCGTTCATTGTGAGACCGCGGACTCCGAGACATCGTCTCTCGCCGGGTGTTCTTTTGTACGCTGTTTTCTCTCTTTCTCTCTTGAATTTTTCTAGGATTTAACACGTCGAGTGCCGTGACAGTCACCCGCACGCTGCGACATCACAGTGCCTTATTAAATACAGTAAAGTACACGGAAAGATATATAAAAATTGCTATAGAATTTTGTAATCCCGAGAAAGAGACTAAATTTTTTACCATATCTTTGATAATTCTATCATTATCTTTGACAGTCAACGTTAAGCTTTTACAATTAACACAAGCCTCATTCGGATCGGATCGAGGAAGTGATCGTCCTGCAGATTCCTTCGTGACGAATCCGTGCCTGAATGCACCTCTCCCGTGCGCAGCATTGCACGTGGCCACGCGTGCATAACGACGACAGGAGCACTCGCGAGAAACCGCTTCATTAGTACGCCGCTGCATGTTTCATCACCCTCGACGAGCCTTTAAGAACCCGACGAAAGGGTCGCGCGACTAACCGCCCTGTCGAGTTTTACGTAGCTCGTTGGACGCTATATCTTCGTACGAGTAAACGCGACGCGCTATTACACCTGTTGAGGCGGTCAACGAAGAATTCCGAGGCTCTTAACGTACGTGAGACTTTAAGCGCAATATTTACTCGGATCTAATTAATATCAAAGGGATGTGTTTAATGTCCTAAAAGGGATATATGTACACGCAAAAAGATACATCCTTGGCGGAATCTTCTTGTAAATCATTCAAGAAGATTCTTCTGAAACGAAGAAGAAAATATCCTCAGTACAATATCATTTCTCTTTATTAAAAGAAGAAGACTACTTCGGAAAAAGTTTTCGCAATATGAGATTATAGAAAATAGCATCCTTTTGTAAGTAAAGTTCTTTTTGGGGGGAGTATTAGAATATTTTCCTCTTGGTTTAAGATGAATTCCGCTAAAGACGAGATTAGATTTTTCGAGTGTAATATTCGAAAAGGGATGCAATATTTTTTCCACTGATTTTCTCACATGACAAACAACATCTGTCTGATCTGTCAATCTTTTTTTCCGAATCGCAACATCATTCCTCCACCCCTAGACCAGTCGTGAGTGTGCCCGCGTTTTAAAGAAGAGAAAGATAAGCTCCTCACGATTCGATCCGTCATATCTCCTCGTCGTAACATGTCATGCCTCCCTTTATCCACCCTCTTCGAGGCGTGAGTGTGTACTTCTTTCATTCCGGGCTGACAAAAAGGACGTAGGAGTGCGCAGTTAAAAAGAACGGACCTGTTGTGCTTTACTATAAATAGTCGTTGCTACTGCCGATCCGCACCTATCCTCGGAGAAACGAGAAAAAAGAACCGAGCACGCAGTTCACGGACTCCTAAGTGGATCACGCCGCGCGGCGTGTTCCACTGTGTTTTCTTACGCGACGAATAGAGGCGATCTTTCAGAGAAGTCGATCTCTCTCGTGGCGTCGAAAAAAGCACGCTCGTGTACATGCATCGTGCAGTTATGTAAATAATAGGCCGGACCAAAAGAGAGAGAAAGAGAGACAGAGAGAAACAACCCCGCTATTTTTGTATCGCGCGTCCGTTGAGAAACCGTGCTTCCGGCGACTCGTCTATTTCCGTGCCAGGCTGTGGCTTGGCCTCTTTTCCTACCTTTCCTTTCACTCGCAATCGCATATCCATTCGCGAAGTTCGAATTCGCGGTCACCCGTACCTTGGCGAGAGAAAAGAAGGGGATGCTGAAGTCGATGACGAACTCGAACAATGTCGATAACGCAGAAACGATCATTACTGACACAATCACGCTATCCTTTTCATATTTCTTGTATATATAGAACTTGCGTAAATATGTGTTTTGCTTCGTTTTACCATATTCAGCGGAAAATATAATCACACGTGTGTAGAAATCTTTCTGCAAACTTTTCGGATATTCTTAAGCTGCGGAACTTTTGGATTAGGCAAATATTACGTTAACCGATAGCTTAAGATTTTACACTGAAAATCTTTTTTTCGTTTTCGTCGCACATTGAACAATGCTCTTATTTATTTTTACACGTACTTTCATTGCGCAAAAACATTTGTAATGCTGTACAATCAATACGACGTAAACTTTGTAGAAAAACATCAGTATCCTGTCGGTGAAGTTTTCAGCTTCAGCATCCCCCTAATGAACGAGCATCGGCGGAAAGTCCGGCGATCGAAACATGCCCATGGGAGAATGATTAACGACCGATAATACTCGTAGCGAGCGTTCTGGAAAGTCGATTCCGGTAGAAAAGGGTTTCAAACGGGCGGGAGAGATTCTTGTGTGCTTGAGCAATAAGTAATATCTCATCTCCGTCGATGATCGGTGATTATTCACGAAGCTGTGCCGTACGCAACTGCCTGCTTAAATTATTCGAGTTTCTATTTCGAAATAACAAGCCGCACGCAACCAACGATTACGTCGATCCCTTGGCCGACCACCTTCTGTTCTGTCCGACCTCCCTGCGCGTCACCCGCCTCCCAAGGGTCAAAGGAATGAAAAGGGACGGTAGACACCTTTGACCAATTTGTTTGACAATTTCAGCGGTTCGCCCAGTTCCGCGCCCCCATATGAATCTCTTATTTATTCAAACTCCACTCTGTGTTCTTTCTCGTGTGCTGACTCTGGCATGATTATTTATCAGTCCATGCAGAAGAAAAGGACATTCTTGTTTTGAAAATCTTTGTTTTTGACGTGTATATCTTAAAATAAAATCACGTAGCATTACGCAAACAAAAATAAATTATTTGCATCGATATGATTCAACAAAATATACTCTTTTTAAAATTCAAAACATTACAATAAATTCAAAACTTAAGATAAATTTAAAAAATATACCCTTATTATTCCAGAACAATTTTAATGAATGGAAAGCACAGAATATTAAATTGAGAATACGATATTTCCAAATATTGGAAAAGGATATTATTATCGTTATCAACAAAATAATCATAGTGTACTTTCTATGCGACTATTTTAATATACAAATAAAATTTCAACATGGAAATGTTAGAAATTCAAAGCTTCAGAATTTTCTTTCAAATTTTTCCTTTAACAAAATTACGTATCGTTGCTTATGTACTAAACAATAATATTGTTAATTTGAGCATATTAATTTTAAATAAATACTAATTTTTTTCTGTGGAGCTTTTAGTGTTCCAGTTATTTTAAGCTCAGTTATTATCGTTATTATCGTGATATTTAATTACTATCATTACTATTATCACTTGTTCCAATTTGTTCAATCGATCTTTGTACTTTACAGTGGGCCATTCGGTGAATCGCGCTCAATCGTAGCGACTATCGCGAACACGCCCGCGAATCGCCAATTACTTTGATAATTGTGTCGGCATCGATGAATAACAGATTTGGGCATTTAAGCGGCTGTAATACATATCTAATGCCCGTTCTCTATCGCGGCTTTTGTATAATTTTCATACGTATAGTTAATCATACAATTTGTTCGTTTTAATGGTTGGCATACGTGTCACGCACAACAGCGTACGGATTCGGGCACGGGATCAGCAAGCCGTTGAACAAATGTCAAAACGAGCTCGAAATTAATTACAGCTCGGATGCTCATTTAACGAATCGACGATTATTCGAATCAGTGGACAAAGACTGAGCGATCATCAAATGATAACGACCGCAGCAATTTGTCTCGCATAATATTTGCGAAACGCGATCTATGAATACTGATTAAGTTAATTGCTCTTGTAATCGCGCTCTTGCAGAACGCACGTGATACCGTGGACGTTGCGAACCACGAACCGCGGGATGTACGAACGAAATTGCCGCTCTCACACTCGGCCAAGAATTTTGCATTATTTCGTCGTGCCTCATTATTCCCGACGTTCCGTCGGGACAGGCTGATTGAAAGGATACAACCGGTGCGCTGAGGACGTTTAATTTAAACAAAAACACGCCGATCGAAGCGAAACGCTTGGCGAAATTAAAGCATCGCTAAGCCCCGGTCGGATTGAAAAGGGAGCTTATCGTCCCGCAAGTTATTCTCACGACGCGGAATATTTTAACGCTTTTTCATGCGTGAAGTAAAAACGCTCTTTATCTCTCTCTCTTTCTCTCTTATGGTGCGGCGGAGACCCTTTTTTAAGCGGAGGTTACTTAGAAATATAGCGCGCGGGGCTCGCTTTTATGTAAGGATCGCTCGCCTTATGCATATCTCATGGACAAAATGCAAATTCCGCCATGCATCAGAAGATTAACATACGCCGTACGCCGGGGGAGCGTGTGCGAGATGCGGGCGCGAGGGTGAGCTTCCGAGTGCGAAAAGCGCGCCGCCGCTGCACTGCTTTATGTGTTTTCATTTCGCAGAAAGTGTTGCTTTCGCAACGCGCCGTTCTGCATGACTTTTACTGTTAGACAAACATGTAAAGGCTCTCCTCACGATGCCTGTACACGAGCGATGACGAACGGCTGCGCCGTTATCGTCCTTTATGGCCGTCGTGTCACACGATCGCCCCGGCGATCGTCGCGGCGACGATCGAACGATCGATAGCAAGACTAGTCGGTTGCGCACCTGAGAGCCATTACGAGACTGTTTGCAATTCCAAGGGAAAACGCGAGTTATCCGTTCGCTCCGTGCCCGATCGCAATTCCGTCCGTGTTTTGGAACTATTACGACTCTCTTTCGGAATCGACGGTGAAGACGGTGAAACGGTCTTCTCCAATCACGTCGTGAGATCGCCGTGGCGATCGGGATCGATTTTTCGTTTGCTCGCTCGCTCACTCGCTCGCTCGTGCGCTGCCGAAATCTTCCCGATTGTTTCGGACACGATACGTCTATTCATGAAAAGCGGAATAACTCTTGAAAAACAGAGGAACACGCGAAGATTCCTCTGACTGTAATTACTTCATTGTACGGTCGGCTAAGAAAGTGTAGCGACACTTTCCCTTGGTGAGTTTTGTTCTATAATAGGAAAATGTATTTCCTGAGAATTACTAGATTAGAAAACTACAAATTCTCCTGTTGGATATGGAATATATTGCGAAACTCATCGAGAAAAAATGTTGCAACTCTTAATCATCTGACCGTACACTCGTTTGCAAAACAGTTCGAACGCATTTTCTCCGATGAAGTTGGGAGCGCATCGAATGGTCACAATTGCGAGCCATTATTTTCACGGGCTTGCGCGGTAATCTGTTATGACAAGAGTCGAAGCGACGGCACATGAGACATTCGATGTCAAAATTGCGACCGAAAATTCGAGAAAAACACTATTTGATGCGCCTCTGGCTTCATCGGGAAAAATGTCCAAACCATCTTGCCAACGACTGTACAATAGTAACTACATATTAATTGGAGTAGTAATTATAAATCAGAGAGTAGTAATTATAAATCTTTTCACAATATAAACGTAGGGTAGAAAATTGGTGGGAACTTCCATGCAAACGAACGTGAGTTATATGTGACACAATGTCTGTTTTTATTTTCCATGAACGGTGAAGTTTATTAGAGTGACAGAAGGGGGCAGAGGGCGAGAGGAGCGAAAGAGATGCGGAGATATTTTCCCGGCTGAAAATAAGTCACGCGCGAATTCTTTCGTCACCAACTTAGGACCATCGTGAGTTCCCGCGCTCGCTCGTTCTCTCCCGCGAGCATCCGAGGGACGAAAATATCCACTCGCCGATTCGCGCTTATGGCGCTTCCTATTTTCAATTGAGCATTTCGCACGTGGCGAGATTGTTGCCGCGGGCGGTTATTATATTAATAGTAACCGCGGATTTCTTTATTCAAACGCGCAACGCGTTCGCATTATACGTGTCTGTCCATTGTTAACACACCGTGTTAACGCTCCGCGGTGCAGTGCTCTTCCTTTCATTACGTCACACACATCTGTGTCCAGTTAAGTCGTTCTGTTATATTGTAACTTAATTAAAAATTAATTAGTGGCCGAGGGAAATAGCCAGCCGCGAACGGACATCCCGTCGCTTGAATGAAAATGGAAATTTCATTGAACATTTTGTTAATTAGAGAGAGAGAACACATTTTTAAAAAATAGTTATGTCTGCACAATTTTAGATAGTTTTCTTTTAATAAGGAGGCAAGATAAAAGAAAGATATGGCGTGTATACTCTTATCTTTCAGGTGCCCGGACACCCCGTTGTCGCCTCTCGTGACCGGAAAATTCTGCAGATTTCATTCCATTGGTTGCCACTCTTCATAACCGAAATGCTCTTTTGGACTGCGTTTTTTGTTTTTCCTTTTACCAGCGCGTTATTTCCGCGATTTAGCGCGGCTCGACGTTGAGATGAATAAACCGAGTAACGTGATAATGTAATTATCACCAACACGCGACTATGTCGGCTAAGCGTTTTGGCGCACTCTCGTTCGAATTAAATCGACGACGTCCGTTTCGGCAACTGTTTCAATTTTGGCAGATTATCGCGTTTCCTAGGGAGAAAGAGAGATTCTCCTGCGATATAGAATTAATTCAGCTTTCGCATGTTCAAATTGCGACATGTTCTTCTCGCACGATAAGCGACGGCGGTTTATCTGCTTCCGCCGCTGTACGAATTGAGATATTGTCACGTCGCGGAAAAACGAAAGCGGGAAGTGATGCGCATCACATGCTCATAATGCGCTCCCAGAGATTGAAGCGCTCACAAACGTGTCTCCCGATTGAATTTTACGAACGCTAAAACGTCAGCAGGCCGCATGCGGGTCTGCGGGTTTATTTAAATCCTTCCGGTCGGTGTCACTGGTCGAAAACTATTGAGGCACCTTACGAGTTACGAGTTGCGTAAGAAAGATTGATCTGGGCAATCTTCAGCGCGATCTTTCTTTTAATCTTCCCGTTAGTCGCGGCTCTTTGTGCAACGAAAATAGAAATTTCATTGAACATTTTATTAATTGGAAGGAAAACACATTTTTAAGAAGCAGTCATGTCTGCATAATTTTAGGTAGTTCTTTCTTTATTAGAAGATAAAAGAGAAATATAGTGCGTTTCACTCTTACTCTCATTTTGTCGCGTGAAAATGAAATCATTCAGCATTTTTCAGATACTCGCAAAAAAATATCCACACGGAAAAAATATTGTAGTAAAAATTATAATACAATTTTAGTATTAGACTGGAATAGACGGGAATAGACTGGCACTGTAATAAAACTACAATAAGATAGCAAAAGTGAACATAATAAAAATTACCTTAAATGTAAAAATCAAATGAAAAATTATCATGTTTCATTTTTACTACAGTATTCTCTCCGTGTATCGGAAGGTCTTATCAGCAGGAACGAACAAAGTTAAGGAGAAAGAACGAAGTCTCGGGGTTACACAAATTTTGTCATTGCAAATTGCAATCGGTTCGAGTAAAAATCGAGCGTGATAAGCTGCTAATTAATGTGAAATACTAGTTAATTAGTCATATGAGTAATTATTAATAATATCAATATTAATTATTAAAATTCAAATGTGCGCGCATTATTCGTGTCGACTCGCCGCGACACAAAGTTAAGTACGCATCAGCTATGTGATAAACATGGCCAAATATAAGTTTGCTGGGCACGTTGAACTTCAGGCGAGCGTCGCGTTAATAGCCTTGCCGTTGATGGATCTGACCTGCTAATTAGATGTCAATCTTCCGACCGACTCTGGTTGCGGAAAATAGACGAAAATAGACACAATGATATTATAGTCAGATGAAGAAGAATAACAGCATTCTTTTACTTCAACGAGTCTTGCAACGCGTCCGAAATTTATATGAAAAAAAAAAACTATATTCTCCCCGTGTACTGATTGCATCTTGACAATCGTTGGCTTTCCGAGAGTCTTCTGACGCGCGCGAATCGATTCCTTCGTGCCAAACAATTCGTTCTTTTTCACTGACATCGACCGGGGATGACGTCGGGACTTTGAGGATGAAGAAACCACGATAGAGCAATCGCCTGTACCTTTGTTCTGAAATTCCGGCGACAACTCCTCCGCGGCTGCGCTCGTCCGGTGAGTCCTCAACACCATCAGCAGACCCGTGAGGAGCGCGTAACCCAACGCGCAGTGCATCTCGATACCCGTCCTGTATCGAGAATCGACGCTCACGTATCGCGCTGGCCGCGCACAACACGTCGAATCCGCTCTGCCTGCGCGGAGAGCAGCATTCGATCTCGGCCGTAGAATCGACGGGCCCGGATTTTCGCGGATAACGCAATTCAAGGACGGTCCTTCCAGCGTAGCCGCAGGCTCCAATCCCAGGACGATTTCGCGACTTTCTCGATAACGGATCGCGACCACTTGAACGATCCGAAGGAACGAGGCATTCTCAATCCGATCGGTGCTCCTCGTGTAACGTCGCGCTCGTGAGTAAGTCGTCTCTCGGGCGCGCACTCGTTACCAATTATCGATATTCTCGATTAACAACAGTTATTTTACACACACCACGTTCGTAGCCTCCGCGTGAGGTCTGTGATCGCTCGCGAGAACGACTCCGTTTCCTCCTTGGAGGAACGATTCCCTCGCGATTTCCCTCGCGATTTCCCTCGCGAGAGGGAACTCTCAGCGTCGCAGCTTTTGCTATTCTGTACCCGCGCGAACGCGATAATTGGAATTAAACCGACGTCTCCACTCCCTGTGTTTTCCACGTTTCCACGTTCCACGTTCCACTTGTAAATGTTTAATCGCCACGGGAAAATATCGTCCGCCTTCCTCAGCGGAATCCTCGATCTCCGACCACGGGCGCGTTTACATTCACAACGACGAGGTTCCACGAGATATTCGTTACTTCTTCTTCGCCGTTCTTCTGCGAGAACGAAAAGAGACCCCTTGTTCTCCTTGTCGTCCTATTCAACCGGGACTCCTCGCGAAAAGTACAGTCGCCAGCGAGTCCTTTCACGAATGTCCCGCTTCCTTTCCTCGTTCGTTATTAAGCCGTGCGCGTCGTCTTGAAATCCCTTTGATTAACAAAACCAGCCAACGTTTTTCTCACTTTCTTTGTGCCTCCCCCGTGGCCCTGCGCCTTCTTTCTCTCTCTTTTCCTCTCCGTCTCTCTTTCTCCAGCTTCCACAGTCGAAACTTTCGCCGGTTTTCGACCTCTGGTCGTCGTCCTCTTCGCCCGCCTTAGCTTTGCCCCCGAGCGTTTACCTCCTCTGTCGCCACCCTCTCTCGAAGAATTTCGACTTTGATCCTGCGTCTCGCGCGTGCCTTTTGCACGCCACTTTTTGCCACGGATCCCCTCGTTCGCCCGCCAATGTTATTCTTGCTAGGTGGTCCTTCTTTTTGCACGGCGCTTCGTTTAATTTGGAGACACGATCAAGTGCCACTGTCGCGTGCGGTCACTTGCACGACCTCTTCATCGATGATAATGACGATGATGATGACGACGACGATTACTTATGCTCAGAGCGCTCTTCTTCTTTAACGACCCGGTTGACTGATGTCGTTTGCAAGATAACCAATTAATTGGACGAATCCTTTGAGAATTATACGTCCGTAGGAACGTGAGTGAAAGGTCCAAAAACAGAATAAATCGAGGATAAGATCCAAAGAGGCACTCTCAAAGTTCTTCAAGTTGAAGATCTATATTTTATATCACGAATACACGATGCTTCTTACACGATCTGATTCGAGCTCGTCGAGGGGGGGACCGGAGCACCGGCGGTGCTCCGAGAGACAAATAAATCCTCAACCCCCTGTGCAACCCTCGCACATCGCACTCGCACATACACACACGGGTGCAATCGACGGGACACGCACCAGCAGTACCCGCAAAGTCACTCGTTCTCCTGTGCGCGGCGTCAATTTAATCGGGGAAAGGATGACGCGAGTCCAGAGTGATGCGAGTCGAATCGCCACGTGTCGCGTTTGCGAGATCGGGGTGCAGCTGAAAACTGAGCTCTAAAGATCGTCGTCGCCGTCGTAGTCGTCCTCGTCGTCGTCGTCTTCGTCGTCGTATTTGCGGTCGTGGTCGTAGTCGTGGTCGTCAGCGGCGTCGTCGTCGGCAGCGACTGCCACGAAACTAAAACCAAAACCGAAGACACGCGTTTAGTTTCCCCTACTCGGCCACCCTCGCCCTTCTCGCGCGCACCGCACGCACCACATGCACGCACACACACGCACCCACACACCCGCACGCACGCATGCAGGCACTCTTGAAACGCGGACGCACACCCACACACGCATCTTCGGTGCGACGCGCGGTCATGAGGTGTGTTGCGACTGTGTGAATGCGCGCACCCACACGCGCTCGTTGCACGTTGCGTTCCGCATAAGCAATGCATGCGTGCGTGCGTGTGTGTGCGTGCGTACATGCATGCTCGCGGGATATGCGGTAACATGCGCGAATATCGCTAAACCGGTGTCTAAGTAATGTATGCAACTGTTTGCAGCAATGAGTAACACGTCTGGCGCGACGATAAAGTGAAACGCATTTTTACGTTGCACACGCAGCACGCCATACGCCGTGCGTTTTATCTAATTGGACACTCGGCCAAGTCGATTACAGATAATGCTGTAACCGTTTCTAAAACCGTTACAACGTATTCTAAAACCATTACGTCGTGTTCTCCCTACGAACCTCCAAATCGTAATCCGGATCACGAATACGATGCATCATCGCGAAATTGCAATAACTTTTACAATCGCTATATTCGAGAGTATACGATATTAAGTAGAGGGCAAGTTGTCACAAAGGACAAATCAATCATGCGTCTCGTTGATGCATATATTGTGAAAGAATCGCAAAGCAAGGATTCATAAGTGATAATAACTTTTTATTGTTTACACAAAATGTTTCTTCTAAATTATTAAATACCTTAGTCTAAATTCATTAAAATAGCCTTCATTAAAACCGGAAAATGTTGCTATTACGAGAAGAAGAGTCCGATTTAAGAAGGGCCGAGTACATTTTCGAGCGGTTCGATGCCGGAAATCTGAAACAGTATGTGTCAACCTGCTACAATCTTCCCCCTGTTCGACGTACACGTCGAATACCATGCGCCTGTTTGCGCGAGCGTGCGAGCGTGCACACGCGCTACTGCTTGCTCGTCTCCATCCGATCTTTCCGCTTCGTAAAAGGGAGTTCGATGCCGAGTCCGGCTCGGCGCGGAATGAACGCGGGGACGGCGTTTCTGGCGTATCATTGCACAGACGATTACGGACGGTACCGGAGGGGCTGGAAACGCTGCAACAGTTCCGAGGGTGGAGAACCCCCCGTCGACGGGGGTTCCGGAGCGGCAGGCCGAGGGTCAGGAATGCGTGTGTCCTGAAAGGACGGGCATGTTCCGAGCCGCCAGCCGCACGACGCTGCTGACGGATGCATCGAATTCTGCTTGTTTGTCCAGGAACGCCATTGTGTCCGGCCCAGACTACGATTTCCTGCTGCTTGTCGTGCGTTCTCTGCGCTCTCTGTTTTGCTTCCGCGCCGGCAGAAGGTATTCCGCGTCCTCCGTCGCGCGATCAGACCCGGTGTTTTTGCTCCTCGAGGGTTCCTCAAGAGCTCCTCGACTCTGGAAAATAAGATTCTCGAATAGATGCTGTCTCCCAAACGATTACGCGTTCCGAGAACGCGTTCTCTTTCCGTTGACTGTAAATAGGGAAGACCGGGTCTAGATGACTCCAAAGGGGTATGTTGCTCATGTGATTTTTTTTAGTATTTATCTTGAGAGGAACAGAGTGTGAATACAAAATCGTGAGAAATGATTCTTTTAGAAAAGATACATTTTCCTAAATTTCATTAAAATGAAACTTGTGTGCGACAGCAAATCTTCCTCCTTTTTCTCGTGTTGCCGCGTGAATATGCCGCTAACTGTCTCTACCATGTCCAACCGATAATGGGAACATTTTTTTACTAGATCCTACCGTATCGAAAGGGTCAAAGAACAGAGACATTTTCCCTCCATAAATCCGTCATTTCTCATGCGCGTCCGCGCGTCCTATAAACACACACGTGCGCCCCAGCACGCTTCGCTTCCACACGTGACTATTATTATTGCTACCATTATTTTCCAGCGCTGTTGCTCCCAAGTGCCATTAGTCACGAGCGCTTAGGCTCATTAGGCGAATTTGCTAAGCGCGTTTGCATCTCGTAAGCAACTCGATCTTAGAATTTTCGTCGGGCACGGCCGCGGGCGCTCGTTTCCGTCGCCATTCAGCGTGCATGTGTGTATAACTTCCTATAAATAAAATGCACGCCATCGCTTCCGCTCGGATATGTCGTCGTACGCGAAACAAGTAGTAGCGACGCAGTTTTACGACGCGCGTAATTTTCCACCCTTGGCGCTTCGACTCGAGCGGTTTCACCTCTATTTTGGGATTCGCGACTTGCCTTTCCCTCGCTCTCGGGTGAAGGAGGACGGGG